TTTAGATGTGAACTAGAGGAAGAGAACTCTCAACCATACCCATAGAAAAGGAAAAACTTGTTTAGAGTGACGTGTAGTAACTGAGCCTTTTAGGTAACATGAGATCAATACCAGGAATCGAGAGCCTGCAAAGTTAGTCTTTAATGATGTTGTAGGGGCTGCATTGCCTCGTGTAGTTTCTTTTGTTTAGTGCCTTTTCTTCTATGGGCATTAACCCTACTATTCAACGAGAAAAATAAAATAAAAAACATGAGCTAGGAAGAGAGAGAGGACACGCAGATCATTCTCCTTCGAAACATAGTGAGAGACCTACAGAAGACCATATCATTAATTAGCTGGAGGATGCATTAGCTTGAAATTATTACTTTCATGATTTCAGACTGGACTTTTGGCTGCAAACATTGTTTTACAACTTTTAACATTTCTGTATACCATTGTCCCATACACGTTTCCTATAGTTGATGTATTTGAGGAGTGTACTTATAGTATATGCTGTACTGGATTTTCCTTTGTTTTAACTTCACGTATGCTTGGTTTATGTTGATTTCTTAGGAAAGCCACAATTGGATTATAATTTACATTATAGCCCCACTTCATTTTTACCTTGTTGAAAATAGTTCTATTTGGGAGAAACAGGTTTTTCAAATTATGGATAATATGACACTGTACATTGTGATGTGAACATGTACATGACTACATGGTGATTGTATGGTAGTATTTGATTGTCTGTGTTAAACGTATTTGGGATTTAACAGAGATTAAGACATCCATTAGCTGTTAAGAATCTTCTTTCAGTTTGCGGTCCCAGAAATGTTTTTGTAGTATTTCTCAAGATTCGAGCTTTTATCCTGTTTTTCTTTTTTTTTTGAGTTTATTTATGGAAAAACATTTTCTTTACCGGCATAAGTGGGATCCAAAAACAAATTTAAAGTGGGACCCACTTATGTCATGAGTCACTAGTAGAAATTTTTTTCTCTTTTAAAAGGAAAAATGATTGCCCTTTGTTTATTTATCTTGAGTTCACACTCCTCATAATTGTTGGCTAGGAATAGGGGTGTAAATAGCATAGGTTTGTATAAAATATCTTAAGCCTCACTTGGTCTATTGATCTTGTGTAGGCATAAATTATAAGTCTGGTTTGACTTATATTTAATAAATAAAAATTTTGACATAGGCTTTTTAACCTGTTTAAGCCTATTAAATATTTAATAATTAAAAAATAATTAAGATAATATTATTTTATTATTAAAAATTATTAAAATATTGATTTTATTTATTTTATTTAAAATAATAATATAATATAAGCCGATCTGTAAGCTTATAGGTCCAAAATATGAAAAAAAACCTATGACGTACTTTTTAAATAGGTTTTTTTAAAAGCCTATGTCTGCTCTATTTGACTATATATAATTGGATAAATCTAATCTGATATAGATTAAGTCGTAAGCTTCTCTAAGTCGTCTAGTCTATTTATTATCGTAGGACATTGTTACCCGACTGGGGTAGCTTGCAAAACATTTTTATATAGATTTTGATAAGTTTGTAAAAAAGATATAAAAAAAAAATAACAGAAAATAGTAAGCGCCTTATACGGCGATATTATTATAATTTAACGGGCATGTTATATTTATAAATTTTTTTATTTACAAACTCTTACAAATTACACTATCTTCTCTCGGGAGAACACTAGTTACACTATCTTCTCTTGGGAGAAGATAATGTAATTTAAAAAAATTTGCACAAAAAATTTGTAAACAGATCATTTCTCTAATTTAACATCTAAATAGAGAGGTTGTAAGACAAAGCCCGTTGGGTATTGGGTAAAGTGGTGTTGCCACATACCGTTATATATATAAAAACCTTGAGGCCCAAGAGTGGCTAATGCACATAGATTAACTGGGACGTGGCTGGAGAAAACGCCCCTGACAAAGGGCGTTATACAATCATCAGGCTTTTATCATTCCCAGATGCTTCAGGCCCATCAGCATCAGATTGGAACTAGAGTATGACTTGTTTTATGAGTACTTCAGCGCAGTGCAGTTTTTCCACACCACAGGGATGGGGCAACTTCAAAACCATGTTGCTGATATTTACAGCACATAAAACTTGAAGCAAAAGGCATGAGAAAAAGGAATCAGAATCCCTTTTCCTTCATGTGGTCCCTCAGCTTTTCAGTTGTGTCTGTCTTGACCTTTGCACCAACATTCTCTTTTATCCTTTTGAGTCTATGAAGGATAGATAATATGTTCGTGGGGCACTCCCATTTCTCACTGCCTCACGTGACTTCTTCTGCCAACCCATTGTACTCTCTTATTCTTCTTTCCCTTGGTTTGATCTAAATTAGTGACCACTCATTATGGTTAACGCTTTGAGTGTTCAACTCAAATTAGTCATTATGGTTAACCATTATTAAATTCCTTGGTCAATTGTTAATCTTTCATGTAATATGCTTTAATCGCTGTAGAAATTTTCAGCATATGGACAAACAAGTTATGGGTCTAATATTTCTCATGTTGTTGTAGGAGATAAAATATATCTCTTACACAAATATAAAAGTACGTGGATTCTCATGGGAGAAAAAAAAAAAAAATAGATCATATATAATACAACATGAAAAACAATAAACTCAAATCAGACTTATTTGAATTTAGCCTCTTTCAAATTGTTCGCGTTTCTCAAATCAGACCTATTTATAGTTATGGAAATTTTGCTTTGGCCTGTGTCATTGCTTGTTCTGCTTTTTCAATAAGTTATGCTCATTATTGAAAAGAAGCTGATGCACATGGGGTTCAAATTTACTTCATGACAAGTGTATTTTTTTAATATCAACACTGTTGCACCTCATATTTATGCAAAAGAAAAAGGTGTCCGTACAAATCAATCAATCATGATATCAATTCACAGTATAGAACCAATTATTGTAACGGATACTCGCGAAATTAGATGAACTTGCACAATTTTTTCTTCATCTTGTTTTTGCTGTGAAAATTACACAATTCACGTTTGCCTCGCTTATATCGAAGGCAAATATAACTCTAATAATAAAAATGCTTATTTAAAATTAAAGCCGTTAGACTCAGTATTATTAATTAATTTGTTTTTCTGAAAATAAAAAATACAAAACAGGAAGCATTTTTCGTACACGAGCATTGGTAACTACTCTTGTTGAGTCATGTCTGCAGGAAAAAATAATAATGAAGTAGGATTCGGTAAGGTAAGATGTAAGAACTAGGAAAGACGGGACAACGTAGTATCCCATCTACTTTTTCTATGATCTTTATTTTCATTTTAAAGTCAAAAGTTTCTAATAATGAAGGAGCCAGTTTTCTTCCATCGTTTCAACTCCAAAAAATGTGAAATGGAAACCTGTGAACTTTACCTTACTCAAAAACAGTAGTCGTTGATCTTCTGCTTTCTCACGATTGATGCACCAACCAATGGCATGCAAAATGGCAAGTGTGGTGTGGTACATCATGTGACTCGTTATCGTATTGTCATTTTGAGTACCAGAAATCACGAACTTGCGTTTAGTTCCAATAACCATCATTAACGCACACAGAAGTTCACTAGCACTTTATTGGAAAAACTGCAGTCATTTTTTAATGTTATTAGAAAAAATTTACCCCGTGAATATCACTCGTCTTAGGTTGCTTTGAGGAGAACCTCCTGCTTCCCTTCATTGACCAATATTGTTACGAAAATGGGACTATAGTATGAACAGTGTTCTATAATGGCCAGAAAAAAAAAACGTTACATTATTGTTAGTTTTTATATTGGATTAATAGCTATAGATATTTGGCTAAGTGTACTTGAAGTATTTAAAATATTTTAGACTTGAAGGACTAAAAACCAAATCAGATATGACAGGCTACAGGAGTGGTAGGTCATAGTTTTTAGTTCGCTTTAGTGAATTACATTAACATTATAGTTGAAAATGGTTGATCCCAAAACTATATAAGTTTGTTTTGTAAAATCTTCAAGCGGTGGTAGAGGTAGTGACTATCCACAAGGTAATATATATTATTGATTCCAATTCAAGGGCATGTGACAGTGTAGATGAACAATCTAAATGAAAGCAACTCAAAACTCAGCTCAGGACAACTAGTAACAAGTATGCAATTAATCTCTTTCACGTTTGGGAGGGATGTATAAAAGATGAAAATCAAAGGTTAACGGTTGAGATATATAAAATCGTTAATGTAACCTCACGTAACAGCTTAAGCTTTTATATATCTAACATTAAGTCGTTCGGTGAGGTTACATTAATGATTTTATATATCTGAACATTAACTTATCAATTTCTTTTGTTGCTTCCTCTGATTTCAAATTGCAGGGGCTAGCTGTAATCAGAGAGTTCTGCATGGAATGGCATTGGATTTTCAAAAATTAAGTGTACTGATTGTAGACTTTAACCTGATGGTCATGGCATGAGATATGTTAGGTGAAATCCTTTTCCACCTATAACCATATATCTTGTATATAATTCTTCTTTTCTTCTTCAGCTGAAAGTTAATAGCATAATCCCTTTCTCTGTTGTCAGTTTCTAAATATGCTAGTGGCATTAATATTATTTTGTATTCAGACAAAGAAATAAGAAAGAGAGAAATCGTCATTCATCTCCTCTTGCTTTTCAAAAGCACCCAAAATTATTGGAAATGATGAACTGAATAAAGCAACCATGTTGCTCTTTGCAAGTTGATAACTTAAAAACAACCCTTAAAAAGATTGAAAGCTGCCAACGATCTGTTTAGTGTTCAGAACAACAGAAGCACAAGCACTCAAATACCAGACTGCAAGTGATAACATAAAAGATAAAAAGCTATAAAGGACAGCATCTGGGGGACTATGAAGTAAATACAACATACATTAGATAAAAGCTTGTTATTCACAGTGAGGAGATTAGGAGGTAAGAACTAAAAAGGCTTCAAAAAAAGACAAAGAAAGAATCACTCAAAAGTGTATATTCATGTACAGAATTGACAAATTGGTATATCCTTGATTATATCAAAAAGAAAAAAAAAAATTGTGGTACAACTGGATTCAGGGGTTGAAAATGAGGTTCCCACATTTGCACTTCCAACTCATGGGCTTGTAGTTGGAATCGTCATTTCGCCTTGCATAAGCAATTGCAGAGAACTTTGAAGAGTTTATCTTTCCGTTATGCACTTGGGGGTTTGTAGGTACCTGAATAGCTTCACAGTGTCCACATGACCTACACCTTCTTTCACATTTTGGTGGCCTTGAGCCTATTTGTGCCCTCAGTATTGTCTTATCCTCACGTATTGTCTGCACACATCATCATGATTCAACATAAAATTAGTGTTTTATTTTCTTACTTAAGTTAGTCAACAGAGGCAGGAATAACATATTTTACACGGAAGCTAAAATTTACCTGGTCAAAACCACTTTGTTTGTGAGTCTTTCTACCTGTTAGAACATAGAGAAGATATCAATGTTAGTTCGTGCTGATTTCTAACCTTCTATCTAGTTAGCAGCTTTAAAAATTGCTCATTTACCTTCAGTAACTAAACCCTGCTGGATCCAGTTTGAAATTATCAGAAAGAAAAGAGAAATGCAAATGAAGTATAGTCTTTGACAACAAATGACATCAAGCCCCATTTTAAGGAGAACTCTTGTGTAGGGTAAGTATGAAACTTTTGTAAGCGTGAGAAGGTGATAGAATGAGAGAGAACTCAAGCAAAAGAATATGAAATTTGGTTCCAATTATAGGGAGATATAAAAAGAGAGAGAGGGAGAGAGAAAGGAGGAGGAAGAAGAGACTAAATATAAGACAAAGAGGATTTAGTAACTGAGGAATTGGCGAAATGGGATGTGGAAAACATCAGTAACTGAATGACACCATAGCAACTTGCAAGTAATATATTGCTAAGATTTGTTTATGTTGAAGTGATGGAACATGGAAAGACAAATGAGAAAAATGCAGAGGTGCAAGAAAAGAAGGAACCCCGAAAAGGGAAAGACTTCTCCTTCGGTTGACGAGCCCCTACCTCATACAACAAACCAAGATTATATAATAATTGTTGGAAAGAAGAAGCATCATAAACCTGAGAACCACAAGCAGATGATATGAAAGACAAATAGGAACAGGAACAGCAAAACGCCACAAATTTCACCAGTTGTGAGGGACATGTTCCCACTAACGGACATGCATTTACAGCTGTGGATTTTGGGTTCTTTATTTCTTATATAATGTATAGTAAATATTAACGATGAGATAACAACTCTTTCATGCACACTAAAAAAGTGTGTGGAATACATCTTAATTTTTGAGTAAATACTTTTTTCAGTCCTCAGCAAATTTTACGATGTCTGCTTTAGTCTTAGCAAATAAAAAGGCTATTCGTGTTCCATAAGAAATTCAAAATGGATCCATTTAGTTGAAATCGTGATCCCTCACAAATTCAAAAAAAAACCCACATCAGTCCTTCAAAAAGACCCTCTCAAATCGTGGACCTATTTTAGTCTTATTGAGGGACTAATGTGGATCTTTTTTAAATTTGTGAGAGACCATGATTTCAACTAAATAGGTTCATTTTGAATTTCTTAGGGACCACAAATAGCTTTTTTATTTGCTAGGGACTAAAGCAGACATCATGAAATTTGCTTAGGACTAAAAAAGGTATTTACTCTTAATTTTTTCTTTCTTTCCTTTCCTTGTACGGTAGAACTCACATAAATTTATGAGTGTAACATGAAATATCTTATCTCCTGTTGTATAAGAAAATATAATCATATAATATATATATATATATATATATATATATATAATGAGATTTGATTTTCTAGAAAATATTTTTTCATATATAATACTGTGTTTGTTTCATCAATTTTTTTTTATTTACTTTGGATTTTAATATGGGTTTTATGTTTATTATTTTACATAATATAACTTCACTTTTCTACACACATATTAAAGAGGTGGGATCCACATGTTTTTCTTTCTCTTTCATCATTTCACTTTCTCTCTCCATTATTGTGTGTGTTGGAAAACCCACTTATATCATGTCTAATAACATTAATAAAACCCTTTTAATATATAGTGGGAAATGGGAAGGGGGTGTTGTACCCTTTTTTTGGGTTTCTTGTAGTATGCGAACCTTGCAGTTGCAGTCCCACCTTATCACGCCACATCTTTCTCTCTCTCTCTATCCATCTGAGAAAGAGAAAGAACGTGATATCTCGCTCAATATTAAGGTATTATATTTTCAATCTATCAATTTGCAGTCACATGATATAATGGCAATCACGCTTCTGTTTCTAGTTAGCGTTTGGTAAATCTGAAAGTATGATCTCAGGTTCACATTTCTGAAATGCATCCCCCCGGCCCCGGTTGTGACTAAATAATGTGGTACAGTCACATACCGATATTTATATAACATCTTTCCCTCAATTGTATTTTCTTTTGTCATTTTGTCCATTTTTCTAATGAAAATGTTGGATAATTGACAGAAGATGATAACATGCACATAAATCACATTCTTCACGTTTTTTTGTTTTAAAAAAAATCTCTTCCACACAATAAACAAAGGGACTTAAGTGGTATAAAAGAATGTCTAGCTTATGATATGTGACAATTGTGAGTTTTGTGATATCTGCAGATAACATAACCCAAACTCTAAACCCGGCGCCACTGTCAATCTTATTTCAGACTCCATAAACTAAACAATGATTACTATGTAAACTTATTCTAATTTAATAGAATATAATTAATCTAAATGCATTGTCAATATAATAAGATTTTTTTTTACTGTTATGTAATGACGTGTCGTCATAAATTTTAATAAATTTTACATGTTATATGTTATCACACTTATTAAATAATATGACAATAATTTTTCATTAAAACTAAACTCTTTTAAGGTGTAGGGGTGGATTGGATAAAATTTGAGCCTAGTAAGGTCTGAACCATTCTATGATTAATCATTAATCAATGCTTTACAAAAAAAAAAAATTCATTAATCAATGTGCTTTAAATTGTTCACGCTCGACTATTTGGGTTTGAGCCCAAATCTAGTATAAGTATCGTTGCCTTTTGCATTGCTAGATGCCCCAGATAAAGGAATAAACCTAGCTAGACAACTCGTTTAAGACAAGACAGAAATGGCCCAATACATATCATACCATGCAGGATTCTTGACCCATAATGTGTAGTCCAAGATCTTTAAGTCCAAACAATTCCTCTACATTTTGACAAGAAAATAACCCACTTTATGATGTATTACAGCAAAAACCAGGGGCTAAGGAACAAAACTAGAAAGAACTGAAACAGCTGTTACTTAGGTCTGTTTGATTGTTTTTTTTTCCCTTAAAATTGTTATGTAGAATAGTTATGTAAATGTGTTTTTTGTATTATTATTTTTTAAAAGTTAAAAGTCAAAACACAAAATAAAAATAACTAAGACATATTCTTTAAATTTGATTCTAAAAAAAAAACAGTTATAATTTTTAATTTTTTTTTTACAAAATTGGCATTATCAAACAATTTTTTTTATTTTTTATTCTGAAAATAAAAATTATTTTTAAAAACAGTATTCAAAGAGGGTCTTTATATATTCTTCATCTTTATTAAAGAAAAAAAAAATGAAGGAAGAGCAACGTCCCAATCCCAGCCACAATAGCTGATTTTCTATTGCTTTCAATTGAAGTGAACAAAACAAAGTAACAAACAATTCTAGTGATTGATGGATTGCATAGCCAATAGATAATAGATAAAGAATGAGAGTGTCTCCTTTTAATTTTCTTTCTTTCTTTTATTCCTTTGAAAGACAGAGATGCTGAGCAATGTTGTTAAAATTGAGAATCCTGTTAAAATTGAGATCCTATGCAAGATCGGTAAAGGGTAAGAGGATCCTAAATCATGGGATCAACACAAATCATTAGATCCTACTACGAAAGATACAAAATTATATTCAACCATATATATGCGTGTAAAATAACTTATATCAATTAATATATAATTCTTATCATATGATTCATGTTTGAGATGAAATATAATTCATACTTAGAAAGATAGTTATTAAAATTAATCAAATTATATCATCTCAAATAGACTCCAATTTCGCCCACACTCAAAGGAACTGCATGTCAAGATTAGCACACAAATAGTAAATTTTTGGAGCTCTGGAACTTCATCCCCATAAGATTCCCACCATGCTGCTGGACTTTTGGACTCAACTCCTTTCTTTGCTAATGGACACCCTAACAAACCTCGTCAATACTTGAATTGTTCAAGTTGCTCATCAATCACACATGCACCATTAAGATTCCCCTCCATCCTTTGTGCACAATCATATAGTCCAATTTTTACTTCAAGATCAACTTTAAATGAAGGAGAATAATGAAGTTTAGGATTAAGGAAATAGCCTCCAGCATGCAAAAAGCCTATGGAGTTGTTTGTCTCATCTTACGTCAATGACATCCCATATAAGCTTGTAACTAAATAATGATAAAAAACAATTAGCATTGAAACAAAGAATTGAAGGCTTCTTGAAACAAATTTTCAATTAAAAAAAAATCACTTACAATTTTTGGACACTATTGAAGGCTTCTTGAATTTTTTCTTTAGCCTGATCCATCTTCTCATAAATGAATCTCATGGCTGCTTTCTCATCCGAATCAACTAACTGAAGCACTTTCATCAAAGGAAGAACGCCCTTCAAGCAAATGACAATGTTTTTCCAAAACTCTTTGTCCATAATCACATCTTCAATATACTTTCCATCCCTTGACTTTGAAAATCGGTACCATTCCATTCATCGAAGTTGAACATTCTTATCAATGGAAGTTTGTTCTCATAGAGGCATACTAGAGTCAAGTAAGATGTGGCAAAACGAGTCATGGCAGGTCTTATCAAATCTTTACCTTTGGTGAAGCTTTGCAATAAAGTAATGAGAAAAGTCCTTGAATAGATATATAATTGTGATCTTTTTTTTCTTAGGAATTATTTCTTGATAAACTGATATCTTCTTTTCTAAATCCTCCAACATCAAGTCAATGCTATGTGTTGTACAAGGTGTCCAATACAATCATTTTCTTTTCTCCACCAATAACTCTTTAGTAGCTTTATAATTTGTAGCATTATCAGTCACATCTCGGATCAATTTTCTTTCCAACCTCCTCAATCACTTTATCAATCATCTTAAAAAATTTGTCAGCTATTTTCGTGATATGAGAGGCATAAATGGACTTAAAGAACACAGTTCCCGTAGAGTTATTCACACAAAAATTTATGATTGTTCTTCTTCTTTTATTTGTCCACCCATCACTCATTATTGTGCATCCAATTTTCTTCTATTCAGCCATGTGTTGTTCAAGAGTTTACATCGTCATATCATAATGTTGCTTCAAATATTTTACTCCACACTCATAATACGATGGTGGCTTAAAACCCAATCCATGTCTTGAAATAGATTTACACATCTTCTTGAATTCATCATAATTTAACAAATTGAAAGGAATGACATTCCTACAAATAAATGAACATATGTCAAAACATGTTTCCTCTCTCACAGACTTCTTAAGTATGGTGTTGATGATTGTCGGAGTAGTTGCTCATCTTTTCTTGAAAATACTAGACCCACCACCTCCATCCCTCTTTC